GACGATCGCAAAATGTATGCAACGGAAAATAAAAATGATGGTTTATTGTGATTCGTAATGATTGACTTCGATGTAGAGTTCAATGGTTTCAAACAACCTGAAACCGAGAACCTAACCGGAACCATTTTGGTGTGAAAAGAATAGTTTCATGTTACACTCTATAATATATTTTATTTTCGAATAAAACTTACTACGTGATAAAAAGAAAAATACAAAAAATCTATCATTCATTTTCAATGATCCTTTGTATAGAATAAATTTTATATTTACATTAAATGTTTCTTCATTAATACGTAGACGAAAGTATTTTTCACGAAAAGTATTTTTATTTAAATACGTTTGCATAAGTATTTCATCGTTCTAGAAAAGAAAAGAAAATTCTAAATTGAACAAATCTTTATAAATTATAGTTGAAAAAAAAAATTCTCTTTTTTTCTGAACAAGTACCAATAAACTAGACAATGTCCTTCCAATCTTTATGTTATCCATTCAAATAACTTACATTTTCCTTCGCTCGAGCGAATTGTTCTGCTGTTACATTACCCATAAGTTCTTGTGCTTCTTTTCGAAAGAATGAAACCCATATTGCACCTGTTGAATCAACAAGTTCAGCCTAAATAAATTTCAATATGTTTCTGTTTTAATTATTTTCTTGAATAAAACTTACACGAATCATATAATTCCAATGACATTCATTAAAATCTTCTCGACATTTATCGCAATGATAAAGACCAGATGATAACTTATTTACTTTTCGAAAACAATCATTATTTGGACAACTCTTTAAGAAAATCTCCTATTTAAAATTCTAATACCAAAAGCTAAATATAACAAACCGTATAAACAACTCGATCATTAGCTATATGCATACATATAGCTTTTATCATTACATAATCAGGACGACCTTGTCGACCAAGAAGTTCATTTTCAATTTGTCCAATTGTTTTCCATAGATCTAAAATAAAACATTCAAATCATCTGAATTTTCGTCCAAATCGAAAGTCATTGAGAATTTTCGACTTGAACTCAAATTAGTCTCATCAACTCCCAGAAAAAGCTCAAGATCCTATACATAGTTAATATACTTCGTAGTGCTTAACGGTCTGATTTGATTCTATTAGGCATAGTGTGATATTTTGAAATCACTATTAGTTTATCACAAAAAACAGCTAATGGGTTGTACGATATCGACTATGGTGATGTTCTAGAAAATCGGTTTTTCGGACCAACACAAATTTTGCCACAATCGCTTTCGATCTACTCAAATTATAGACCATATCGAGTTATCTATCAGACAATAATCTTTTCAGTTTTTTAATAATGAGTTTCAAGTGAAATAATATCATCTTGAAGATTTTCACATTGAAATAATCATATGTGAATTCGTTGTATGAGAACCAACTTTTTCTTTTGGCAAATAATATCTTAGTCTGGAAAAATCACTACATCAAGACCTAATGGAGATTTTTCATGATCATATTCGATATTAACACTATCAATAGCATAGAATTTCCTAGATTTCAGTGAAAAAGTTATTAAACAGTTGAAAATATTCTCTCAAAAGTAGTTTGTTCAGTAATCTAACCACTGATTGTTCGATATCATATTTCTGTAAGTTACATTTTAATGAAAATATATCACGTATTCGGAAACCAACTGTTGAAATGTCTTAAATCCAAAGTATTCATAGAAATAAGGCGTTTTATGAGAACAATTCGGACTCAGTTCGAGATTCTAACCTCCTTTTGTTAAACGATTTGTTGTTGATGTCGTTATCCGATTATTAGTTAAACGGCCACCAGCATCATACCATATTCGAAGATGTTTTGCTTGTGCAATATCTGGATTAATTTTCATTATCATATTTTTATGACCAGATAAACTGTATTCTGTACAATAAAAAAAAAAAAAAAATGAATAGTATTTTCATTATGAATTTTGTTTTTTTTTCTATTTACTATTATTAAAAATAGCTACTCGAATACGACGAAATGCAACAACAGCTTTATTTTCTGCTAATTCTTCATTGAAATCATTTGCCTAGAAGAGAAGAAAAGCAATTATATTTAAATTAAATTTCATCTAAATCAATGCAAATAATTTTACTTGTTCATCCCATAACGTTATCGAAATATTTGAATCTTCATCAATTATTGTTACTTCTCGACGAACTGAATCTTTATTTGATGTTCTATTAGTAAATGGAATAATATCCGAACATATATCAACAATACCAATAACATCTGTATATCAAAAAAGAAAATAATATATATATAAATCAATGAAAAACTTATTTTTACCAATGAATGCTTCACTAGATTGTTTTGAAACATCACGAAGTGAAATAAATTCATAATGAATATCGGGTATATTTGCATCTACTGTTGTATCATCAACTAATCGAACAATAGAACCTGGTGCGAATGTTAATTCATAATTATGTCGAAGATTATTCCATCGTTTATCGGCTGTTTTAACTCGAACACCCAAAATATCATAAACCTTTTTTTTTTGTGAGAAAAAAAATCTATTTATTATTTTCAAAAAATAATTTTTTACTTTATCGACNATAAATAAATAAACATGCACGTATCATCCAATCATTTTACAGATTCAATCAAAAATAAACTTAATAAAAGAAAAGAAAAATTTTTATTTAAAGAAAAAATCAAGAAAATTTCTATCATTTCTATGTTGCAATTTTATTAAACTAATCTCTAACAACGCCCTCTGTTATTACGCAATAATGAAGAAAGTACAATAGATATTCTTTGATTCGCGCCTTCAATACAATGGCATCAACAAATTTAACGAAAGGAGCTATTACTGTATGTTGTTATATCATTTAAATCATTCATTTAATAATTCTTAAAATTTTTTAGCGCTATCAAAATGGAAATACAAAACAATCAGCAATTGTTAAAGTTCTTGTATGAAGATTTATTCGATGAAAAAAAAAATATATATATAAATAATCTCGTTTTTTTATGTTTAATTATTCAGAATATTCGACAATGTGAATCGACTACACCAACCGATGTTGAACGTTATCGTTTATCGATAACTGATGATCAAGATACATTTAATGGTTAATTATTGAGTCTTTTTTTTTTTGTACATAGAAAGAAAAACAACTTTCATTTTCTTTAGCTTGTATATTAGTACCGGAGTTAAATAAATTAATTAAAGACAAACAATTGCGCGAGAATTCAATTGTTAGACTAGAAAAAGTTGCACATAATTTAACAAATACTGGAAAGTATGCTTTTATTTTAAACATCTTGTAAATCAATTATTGTAGTATATATTAGATCGTTTTTAGTTATACTTGATTTGACTATAGTATCACAATCACCAATAACTACTGTAAATAATAATAAGCCAAATACAAATATATGTCCAATTGAAATGATAACACCATATTTAAATGGAATGTAAGTGTTAATAAAAATTGTAAATAAATGATATATAAGTACATTTATTCATTAAAACGTAGTTGATAAATTTGTAGGTCTCGACAGTACTTTTCAACAGTTTTCAAAGGATATAAAAATACTGACTGATGAAAGAAACCGTAAGGACACTGTTCTCAACATAAGATTCGGAGTCTTTTTTTCACTAGTATTCAGTAGATTTCGATATGAAAATTACAATCTGAGTGAAAACTAATATGATATTCTGAAGCAGCATGTAACACTGAGTAGGTCCGAGTAAATTTTTGAAATATACGTAAGTTCATTCAGAGTTGAATGCTGATTCAGAATATCATTCTACCAGAGCTCACTTTCAGACATAGTGTGGCATAGAAGAAATCATATTTTTTGATGGGACCAGTTTTAACAATTATCGGCCTTCATCTCGTTCATTTTTTATATCTTGTTTCTAATATTTATCTAATAAATTGTTTTTTTTTAAGGTGGAAAGTTCGTGCACGATGTTTTGCTAAAAGTCCTATACGACCACATCCAGTATGTGATTTTGATTTTGTTGATGCCAGTGGTGAAATTCGTATAGTTGCTTTTCGTGATGAATGTACTCGATTTCATCCAATGATTGAAGTCGATAAAGTAAAAAATTATTTTTTGAAAATAATAAATAGATTTTTTTTCTCGCAAAAAAAAAGGTTTATTTTTGATTGAATCTGTAAAATGATTGGATGATACGTGCATGTTTATTTATTTATTAGCGTAATATCGGCCGATTTTTAGTTTTGTTCTTTCGTTGAAATTGCCTTCTCGGTAGAAATTACTTAAAAAACATGTTACTTGCTCTTTGGACACATACGAATTGGATATGTATCAGAACTGAAACATTAGGTGGTCGTTGTCAACAAGATGCATTTTATAAACAGGCAAAAAAAATTTACCGACTGTAACTGTACTCACAAAGGAACAACATGCATATGATCACAAAATTTGAACTGGTAAATACTTTAATTTATCTTGATATTATTCATGCTGATTAAATGAAATAAAAGTTTTCTTATGGAAAGATCATTTAATGAATCTATATTTATTAGTGTGTTAGAAATTGTATTTGAATTAAAGAGAAAAATATCCGATTGTTTTCGACTTTAAACATTAATAACAGTTTGTATTTAATAGCTTAGTAGTTTTTTTAATGAGTAAAAAGTTAGGTTTTAGCATAGAAAATAGTTTGAAAAGCTCAACAATTATTTTAAAAAGACGCAGTATTCAAAGGTGTGGGTGTAACTGTGAAATATGTGCGTGGGTGTATCAGTGTGACGCGGTTGTGTGTATGTGTCGATGTCTTCCTGACAGTAACATCCATCACACTCAATCCAGCATCCAAATACACACATCTAATCACAAACTATTAATTTACTGAGCAAACATAATAGTCTCTGAGCACTAAATATAATACCGATAGTTCAGTTGTATGTGCTCATGATTTGTATGTAATACACTGAATATTTAATTTATTCTCATTATTAACGATATAGAATTCCATCCGAAAATTTCGAATGTAAGATTCCTTTTTCTTGTGATCGTTCTTTTTTTTTCCGGTAAAAATATGTTTTCATTGACTATGGACCTTGAACTAGTTGAAATATATATCTTACTAAGATACAAGATAATCTTAAGTTTCAAATGATAAGGAATGAACAATGAAGCATTTTGTAGATTGGTCACAAACATTTGTTTTTGCTTATTCATTGTTTATTTCCAGATTAGGAACATTAGTGTTAATGAGGATAGTTAGTGATTCTCTTATTGGCAATGGACCATAAAAAAAAAACAAGAACTTTATCTGTTGTTAATTCATTGAGTATGCAGGAATCCATATTGATAAGCAACTAATAAATAGACTATATGATACGTAGCTTAGGGTCTTGCAATAATTAATGTCGTATGAATGATTGCATTCCTATGACCTTGAAATAAAAATGGTACATAGAAAAACATAACAAATATCTAAAATCATACATATTTTTTTATCGTATGTTGACTTTGAAAAGTACAGACTTGAGATTATAATGTGTGTAAAAGAATATTCTAATAGATATCTAGTTAGATTATATATTGCAGCTAAATCGAAATTCAATTTTGATGAAAAAATACCTTTTGTAAGAAAGAAGTAGATAATCAGGACACATCCGTCTAACGACAGTTAGAATGATATCACTATAATACTTTTCATAGAGATAAATATGTTTTAAGAAAATAAGCAATAAAAGAGTTCATTGTTAAGAATAGATTTTTATGAATTCGACAAAAACATTTTTCAATTTGAAATATTAGAAAAGATATAAATACATGTTTACAACTTAAGTCTTTTACTATCAGTATAATAAACCCAAAAAAATGATTCAAAAATATATTTCAAATTGTTGCCATTTTGAATCAGCAAAACGAATAATGTCTTAATTAATTTAGTAAAAGCTTTTATTTTATATTCAATAAGAAAGTTTAAATAAATTAAGCAAAAGAAAACTTTTCATAATCTTGAAATAATACTTTAGATGTTCCTGAACATATTCGTCCATCATCTATTGACTATTGTTCAATTGAATTTGTTACTATATCAGCTGTTGTTCTATTAACCTATATCAATATAATTATACTACAAGAACATACGCATCCAGAGTATAAAGATTCAGATTATTGACAATCATATATGGAATACATTGATTATTTCATAATAATTGATTTAATACTATTCATTTTGATAATAAAGTTTACGAGACAAATGATCAAGACTTTGAAAAAATATTTTGTATCATGTATATGATAACAAACATTAGATTATTGAAAATATTAAACTACATATTTTTTCTTTCTTATTTATAAAATATTACATTAATTTGTCGTTTAAGATATTTGAATGCAACAAAAAAACCAACTATATATATATATATCTTTTAGATGGCCGTCCATAATATACTTGATCTACCTAACGAAATACTTGAAATCATAGTATTTAATGTAATTGGAGGATCATGGAAAGATGATGTACATGATTTTCTTTCTTTTACATCAACTTGTCAACGATGTTATCAATGGTCTCATGATGAAAAATATTGGCAAAAACTAGTCTCACGACGGGATCCAACAAATATAAAACCAACAAAAGATATAACATGGTTAGATTATTGTAAACAAAGTAATTAATATTTGAAGAAAACTAAATTTCAAATCTATTTTTCAATTTAGTTTATCTTATGCGTACAATATCATCTAATGAACTTGAAGATAAAATAAGTCGTTTTGACGAAAATTATTTTTGTACAATTGAAAAAATTCTTCTTTGGCCTAATAAAATACGTATATATATTGATGAACGTGGAGATTATTCTTTTGGTTAGTTGTCATATGAAAATAAATATTATAAATATTTTATTTCAAAATATACAGGTAGTATTCAACATCCAACATATTCAACAATAGGATTTCTTGAACAAAATTCTTTTCAATTTAATAAATATAATAGAAAAAAAGTTTCTAATAGTGAATTTTCTATTGAAGATGAAAAATCACAATATTTAGGTAAGTATAATATTTTATTTTCTTAATTATCGATTTATTTTATCTTTTTAATAGGTTATTTAGATTTTTCTATAAATATTTCATTTGATTGTATTGAAAAAGTTCTTTGTTTTCAATATGGTTGCAGTGGTTATAGTATTACAAAACTTTTTCATATAGAACAATCGTTTATCGATAAATATAATCTTCTTCCGTTGATGAGAAAATGTCAAAACATTGGATAATAGGTATACTTTATTTTGATGAATAATATTTATTTTTGTATGATGTGACGTTAATAGAAAAAAAAGAATACTTGAGGTATTTTCTTTTTTCAATATTTTGATTCGTTCCTTCGTTTTTTTTTTTTTTTTTTTTCGTGTTTTGCTATACCGAAGTTTCTTTCTTTTTTTCTTTTTTTGTTGTTTCTTATTCATTACTGCTCTCATCATGGTCACCTGGTGATACGAAAAGACGAGTATTTTTCCTTTCTATCTTTTCTTTTTTCTTTTTACGTACACACTTACGTGAGTGCAAAATAGTCGAATCACTCCGTTTTTTTCCTAATGCATTCACAAAGATGAGGTGTGGAAGCGTTTGTTTGCTCAAGTCGTCAGCTGTCTCAAGGGCATGAATATAGGTATGTGTGCACACACATATAATCTTTTTTATTTTTTTATTTTTCAATCCTCATTTTTTTTTTATCTATAAAAAGCAATCAATATAATGCTTTTCGATAGTAAATTAACTTAGCTTTTTTTGTGAGAATGAGAGAAGCTAATATTAAATGAAATAATTGTGAATGTATGTGACTTTGACTCACATGTTTATTATTGTTTTTTTTGTTTCATTCTTTCAGATTATGCTTAACTCTATACAGAAAACCTTTTCGAGCAATCGTTCTTCTGTTTTGTGGTCTGTCAAGAGTCGTACGAAAACACGCTCTTCATATCTTCTCTCCCGTCAAATTACTTCTATTTCTACATCAAACAATATTAAAAATCATAAACAATTCTTTCCTCTTCAAAATACATGTCCAATTGGATCATTAGCACTTATCATGAATGAAAATCAATAACATTTATTCAACTAGCAAAATTATATTCGATAATAAATAAATATATTAAAAACAAGCAAAGTTTATATTAAAGTTTCTTCTTCTTCTTCTTCTATTTTATTTTTTATTATTCCATAAATATGGCGACCAATGATGATCTTGATGATTTCTTTAAAAAAAAAGATCGAAAGGGTAGTAAACATAAAAAACAATCCGGTTTATTAACAAATAATCAAGAATTACTTAAACAATTAGGTAAATATATATAATTTCTTTTTGTTTATTTTCAATTTTATTAACTTTGTTTTTTCTGTTCTTTTAGAAATTGTTACATCTGCAACATCAGCATTTAAAGAAAATATGGATTTTGATGATGATGATGAACAACAAGTACATAATGAATCAATTGTAGGAACAGGTTTTACCGAAGAAAATCGTAAACATCCAACGAAACATAATAAAGTTAAAATTCCTGATAATGATAAACATACAAATGCCCAAGATATAAGTATTTCTACTGAAGGACAACAACCACAACAACAACAACAACAACAACAACAAGAACAACAACAGCCACAACAACAGCAGCAGCAGCCGCAGCAAGATGAATGGGAAGATTTCGAATCTTCAAATTATAAATATGAACAATTGCGTTTAAAATTTTCGCGCATAAATAATGATAATGATTATGATGATGAATATTATGATGATGAAAATAATCCAAATAATAATGATGATAATAATGATATGAGTGGCGATCGTCAACAACAAAAAGATAAACCTGTTTGGAATATGGATCAAATGAAAAAAGAAAAAGAAACAAATGTTCCTATTGTTGAAGAAAAAATTGCAGAACCATCACCACCACCTCCACCAAAACCGTCAACAACATCAACTGGTGCTTATCGACCACCAGCATTACGAGGTGGTTCATCAGTTACTGTTGTTAGTGGTGTTAGTCAACGAACATCAAAAAAGAAAGAACCTAATTTAGCTTCAACTGATGAATTTCCAACACTTGGATCAGCTATTAATAAAAAATAATTATTAAACTTTATCCCTTTCGCCTATTAGTATTCCCTTGAACGTCGCTGGCACAATCTTTTTTTTTTAGTTGCTTCTGTTTTTTTTCTTTTCTTTTTTTTCTTGGTTCGCTCTCTTTCTCTCCTTCTCGCCCTTTCTTTGGTTCTATTTTGTTTGTTTTTTTTTCGTTATAAAAAAAAAAAAAAAGGAAAAACTTTTGTCTCTGTTGTTCAGCTTAACATAAAGTCTATTGCGTCGTTTTCTTTTGAGCTTCAAGAATACTTTTATATAGATTATCGCGTATTATATTTGCTTCTGTCCAACGAGCAAGCCAATCTTTTTTTCGACGATATAAACTAGATTGTTTATCATCTTGATGATTTTTAAATATGTCGTCACTATGAACAGTTTTTGAATGACTATGACGTTGTACAGGATGACCATGAGCAACAGTACATCGTAAATCATTACTTATTTTAGTATAATCAGGATTTGATGATAAAAAAGTTGTTTGAGGTCGATGATAAATTGAAGTATTTTGTTTAACATTTACATATTCAAATTCATTTTTATCACGTTCAACTTTATCTTTATCCGATAAAAGTTCATCAGTTATTATTGAACGAAAACGATGACGAATATTTTGAGGAACTTGATAACCATTTACATCAGTATAATAATCACCTTCATCAATCACTGGATGGTTACTAAGGCTTGACATAATGCTTGTTGTATTTAAGAAAAAAATTGATTATGGTAACAGTTAAAAGAAATATTCAACCATTCTTTTTTCTTGTTTACATCAGTATCACTATTGACAATTCAGCATTTTTTTTTCTCCGTAAATTTCATCGACAGAGGGTGCCAATCATCAGCTAAATATTCTTTTTTTGTCGGAAGTAGGGACGTAAGTCGGTACTGAAAGCAGGGGGGGGCGTAGGGGGGTCATAGCATCGACAAGCACTAGAATTAGGGAGTTTACATGCTCAAATTTTAAAAGCAGGGGGCGCTGCCATAGAGAATTTCAGCAGCAAGGGGGAGGAGGGTGTTACGCCCCACCCTATTTACGCCCCTGGTCGGAAGTAAATGTTTAACAATTAAATAAAAGTAAATAAATGCATCTGTATTGAGTAGAATAATTTAAAAAGCATAACAATAAATTTTATTGACATATACTGATAAATTATTTTAGATTCTATTATCTCTCCAATCGAGTTCTGCTTTTTTTTTTTATCAGAAGAAAATTTGTTGACAATTAAAACTACATATATATATATATTATGTTTTCTTCAAAACAAAAAAACAACATACTATTATCAATAGATTTACGAGCAAATAAATTGCTAGGATAGTGTTTAAATAAGAACACTAAATCAAAATCGATGATATATTTATCATGTTTGGTTACAGACAATAGAAACAATTCGACTATGCTTCAGTTACAAAAAAAAAGACGAATAAATAAAATTTGATATACATATATTTGATAAGAAAAATAGTATTATATGTTTTGGGTTTACTCTTCTGCATATATTTAACTAAATTCAAGTTATTTGAGACGTGTCTACTGATTTATCATTATCAAGTACAAATAGTCTATTAATACGAACAATTATCATAATACATTGTGACAATGTATAACTTTTTGTCAGTATTTATTTTCTTGCTTTTAGTTGGCTCATAATATACTTGTCGTTAATGGCTTGACACACTAATACCATTGAATTAAGATATTTTTTTCGTATTCGAATTTAAATTAATGTTTGTATATGATCTATTGCACAACATTTCTGTTGAACGCTCAAATAATTGATCCAAGAGAACAATATGTAATACTATTCATTGTCACAATCAATTCAGAATGAATACGAAACAGAAAAGAGAACAATTGTTTTACTTTTTATGATTATCGTTATCTAAGAATTTTTTTCGTTAAGTGTGTTTGATCCTGACTAAAATACCGATATTCAAGAATAAATTAATTTTTTTGTGACTTAAAATGTTTTATCATATCTTTGTTATAGTCATAGGCTTTGAACAATGTTGACTGATTAATGATCTTTCATATGTATAAGATAATCTTCTTTTTTTTAATGTCTGTCTGTTCGCCTTTTTTTTATTCCCTTTTCTTAAGTGCCCTACCAATTTACCCATTCAACATATATTATTCTTATATAGATGAAGCGACAGCGGTTAGCGAAGAGAATGTTTGGTCAGAGACGGGCCAAACGTCTATATACAATATCATTAACTTAATACAGATACCTATATATATATATAAGAATAAAAAAGAAGATAAAGAAAAACAGACGTAAGATGCTAGTGAGCTTACGGCTGTTACCGGCAACTATTAGATGTCAAAATGCTGATGCATCATTTTCTGCCGTTACTAATAAAAACGCTCAATCTTTTTATTCTGTCTCTTTCTCTCGTTCTTTCATCCTTTTACCACATGAGTAACTGAGATATTCGCCCTTATTTATTTTTTTTTTTTTGCTTTCCTCTTCCTTTCGTCTTTTTTTTCTTCTTTACTACGACCCATCCTATCGAGAAAGCCTTGTCACCATTGTAGAGAACTACAAAGACGTCAAGAACAAGAAATTCGCTATTGATTTTTTTTTCTTCTATTTTTTTTTTTTTTGGTATGTGTACAAGTGTCTTTTGGACGTTTCAAAGAGAAAAAAAATCCACCTAGCTTTACACTCTCAATCAATCTATCAATATTAATATTTGTGTGTATGTGTGTTATATATGCCGTCCATTATTTATCCGCTGGTATTAGTATTATTAACTAATTTTTTTATTGAACCAACAACGTGTGATTTACCTACTATTTTACAAACTATTGAACTTGATGATATTACATCATTCGTAGATAAAATACCATCAATTATTAGTAAAGTCAAAGAAGCTGGTATGTTATTGAAAAATATAAGTATATGAAGGTCATTTATGTTCGTGAAGGCCATTTACTCGTAAACACATAAAAAAAAAAAGGTTATCTGAATAATATATTAACATAAGCCATATGATAAGCTTATTCAATTGTCTTGGTGATATAAAACTTTTCACTTGGTTGTTTTTTTAATTACTTTATTTGTATTTTATTTCAAGTTAATTATTAGCATTGATATTATGTATATATAAGATATAAAATCATATTACTAATAAACACTTGTCAATGATAGATAGAAAGATATAGTAAATGGACAGTTTTGGCTATTTGCACAGAAATAATTTAATAGAAAGCAAGACAAACATTGACAGATATATTGTAGAAAAGTATCACTGAAACAGTTTTTGTTATTGTTACGTGACAGATGAGAATGTTTTTTTTGTCTCTTTATCTTAATCAAATTTGTCCACAATCTTTTTGCTTTATTCATATGAAATATACGAGAATAAACTTTTTTCAAAGAATAAAACTTTATAAATATTATTTTATTAAAAATTTTTAGTTAGCTCACTAAAATATTATACAACATAGATTTAATATAGACTTAAAATAAACCACATGTCATAACTTCGAAGTTTTCTTTTTCATAGAAGATATACACAAACTAAAAAGTTACTTGTTTGTCAAGATTTATAGTGCAAAGAATTATATATCCAGATGTTATTATTTTTCAGTCAATCGAATAGATAGAACAGCATCTGGTTAATAATTGTACTACAATAGAAGAGTTTGTCTAAATTTTTGTCTTATCTTTTGTTTTTAGTCAATCGATTTCGTTGTCCAAAAGGATGGAGACGTTTAGGTGGTTCATGTTATTATTTATCTGATATTAGGTCAACATCTATTGATGCTAATAATACGTGTAATCGTTTACATTCAAATCATTCAAATTTAATGCAAATTCGTAATACAGTTGAATTATTTTATGCTGCTCATGTTTTAACAAAAAATAATCTTTCAACCTTACTAATTGATATGGATCCAAATTTATTAAAAGGTAAATAAAAATTTTTAATTATTTTTTGAAAAAAAAAAACCACTCAAATAATTTAATATTTTTTTCGGTTAATTTCCTTAGGAAAAACAATTGCAGAAGTATTAATGAAGGATGAAGGTCGATGGCAACGTATGAAAGAGAAATTTGGTGAAATGCGTATTCGATATTATAAATTAAAAGCAAAAATTCTTCATGAATTAAATTCAGCTGGTTTACGTTTATCGAGACGTTCAAAAAAAATAAAACAAACAACACAAACATATAAAGAAAAATATATTCATAATCCTAGTTATTCTAATGTTGATTATGGTTATGATGATTATGATGAAAAAAATATAACAAATTCTATATATCCTAATCATACAACAATACTTGAAGAATATGAATATGATGATCTTGATGCAACAGATGAAACTGATGAATTTGAACAATTTGAAGATATTCGAGGTATATGTGATCAATTAGATTGGAATGTTTTAAATAATGATACAACAGTTTTTATTCTAACAACTTATTTAATATCAGATAAAATAGTTTGTTCATTAAGTAATGTTGAAACAAATATAGAATATGATCATGTTTGTGAATATGGTTTGTAAAAATTTTATTTTTATTTTTCATCTAATTAATTTCAATATAGTGCTCGATTTTTGCTTTGCAAATGTTATATGTGGTACACATGGACATTGTGTAAATACATTATCAGGTTTCAAGTGTTCCTGTTCATTTTTATATGGTGGTCTTCTTTGTGAAAAAAGTAAAATTTATTTGTCTTTTTCCATAGGCAGAGTAGAAAAAAAAAATCTGATTAAAAGTAAATATAACAAATGTTTGAGTCTTATAAGAATATATTTCAATAGAAGTCTGGTATTTATATGCTAATATATCCATTAATATTATTACTTATAAAATGTTATAAAAATAAAGTATTTATTTTATTGATAAAAACAAATCAAACAGACATGAAAAATTGATAGCTTATTTACTAAGTAGTAATTAATTAAAAATGCGTTGAACTGAAACTTAAAATGTATGATGCACATGCATGAATTAAATTCAGAGATGATGTAATCAACTTTTTCTATAATTAGAATTTCAAATATCAGATTCCATCACGCAACATGTTCAACTTGACGTGTTCTTTCATCTCTATAGTTAAAAACTCGTTTAGAAAAAATATTGAACAGGTGACATATTACTTTATATGTCTTGTCCTTTAGCTTGAATAAATTGCATAATAAAAATGAATCATCAAAAATTTATCTTTTTTTTTTTTTTCAATGATCGTTTCTATGATGCCTATAGAAGAAAAAAAAATTGTTGTTTATTTGCCCAATGAGAAGTACTGACCTTGTTAGTTAAGGTTTTCTTTTCTTTTTTGTAAACGAATTATTAAATATAAGTTTTTTTTTTTTTTTTTGAATTATAATTATGCTTATTATATTTTCTGTTCTTCTTAGTCTCAAAGCAAGGTACACAAATTTTAATTAGTTTGGGTATTGTTATTTTTCTTTATTTATTATCAATAAAACCAATTCGATGGGTATTATACCGTGCTATTACTCTTATCTGCTAGTAAGTTTTTGAAGATTATAAAAAAAAGAAAAGAAAAGATGAATATTTCTTGTTTTGCTATCCAAAACCAATTTCATAAGTCAATCTGTCTTGAAAATCTTTTCGTTCCATTCCTTAAGCTCCTAATACACACTGATAAATTGTATATCCACAATGAAGAACGATTACATGTTTTTTTTTCAAGATTTCTTCTAAAACTCAATTCAATATTAGCATAGAAGATATAGAGTGTGGACTTAATTGAGTTTCCAGGGATATCCATAGAAAACATCGTACAGGGTGTCCCATAAGTTGTGGCAGATTTTTTTTAAATCTAATTTTTGATGATAATGAATACAAATCAAACTCAAACTTACACGTATCATATAACTTAACATGTACTTTTATTTCATATATTTTATTTGGATTAAATCATTGGATATACAAAAAAATAAAGAAATTGGTACATGTGTAGAATAAGCACACCATCAATGTGTTACAATATATATGTACCCCGACAAAAAAGTTTTACACTGTATATCTCATATATTGTCACTATAAAAATAAGTTATTTTGAAACTAATTACATATTCTGAAAGCTCGCGGAGTTTTCTATCACTCTGTAGAATTAGGTTTTAGTTTTGACCTTTTCATTACCAAAATAAATTGAAGATAACGAA